GACCCACAGGAGGTCAGAGGAGTGAAAGGGGCCATCCCATGGGAGTATCCGGGCTTCATGGAGGAGGTGGCTCTTGAGGTGCCCCTTGGAGGACGGGTAGCCTTGGGCAGGTGCTGAGGCAGGGAGAGGGCATCACCAAGTAAGGTGCAGAAGTGAGGAGGCTTCTGGTCTCAAGGCCGAGATGCCTACAGCTGACTGGAGAGGCTGAGGGAGGGGAGCGGCTGGGATAGGGGCCCGAGGCTGGCTTTTATCCCTCAGGAGGAAATGGAGAGGGTACAGGAGGCAGAGCTGTTGCCAGGCTTGGTGATCTTACCATGGCACTATTTTGTTTAATAGCACAGCAAGAGCTTGTGCGGGTGGAGCCTGGGCATTCGGATTCTCTGTTATCGACTTCTTTTAGGCTCCTTAGGAAGGAGAGCTCTCCTATTGCCCAAATGCCTCCCTTTTCCCCACAGAGAGCCCAGTGCAGCTGGGGGCTCTTCCTAGGTCCTGCTGATGCAGAGGAGATCTGGCTCCTGGCAACTGCTTGCTAGCTCTTCCAGGCCCTGGTGTCTCTGTGTCTCCAGTATCTCCTGAGCTGTCACTCCTGAGTCGCCCAGACATGAGAGCTGCAGACCTTCCCCACCTTCCCCAGGGGTCTCCTCTTGGTCCTTCCCAGAGATGGAGTTCTCTCCTCTCTGGACTCAGATCAGAGCCCAGAATGACTCTACTCCTCCCTGACTGAGGGTAAAATGGCTGGCGAACCATGTGGTGATTTGGCTTAGAGAAGAGAACAGCCAAGGGTGGCGTGGAAGGGAGGCTGGTGACAGGCTTTTAAATGCTTATGACAATCCTACAGGGCAGACATGGTTAGTTCTGCCTAAGAGATGAGGAAACTGAGACTCTAGCCAGGGGAAAACAGACTTGCCCTTCGTTCTGTCTGGCTTTGAAAGTCCCTGCTGCTGCCGGCAGGGCTCGAGAGGATGCTGACGCAGTTGCTGGCGAGCAGGGCTGTGCTGGGGGCCCTGTGAGCAGATGGGACATAAACCTCTCTGGGAAAACAGATTAAAGTGGCCATGGTGGTGCTTAAAAGCCATGCAGTCCCCTTGCATGTTCATGGAATCTGATCGATGTGTCCCTCTGCCATCTTTGAGCGCCCTCTTGGGGGAGGAGGGGCATATCCAGCAGTGAAAAACATCTGTGGGGCAAGGCACACCTGGCCCCCTCTCCCGCCCTCTCAGAGCCAAGGCTCCTAAAATAAGCCCCTCTATGCTAAGAAAGAGGGGTCTCCAGCAGTAACCTCAGAGCTGTTCTTTAGCTTCTCACAGCACCTGACTCCTCCAGTCGAGTCAGTGGCTTGTCTCTCCTCTCCTACAGGTTCAGACCCAAATCGAGCATTGACTAGCTGTGTGCCTCTGGGAAAGTCACTGTCCCTCTCTGAACCTGAGTCTCACTCAGAAGGTTGTCGTGAGAGTTGGATGAGATTGTATAGGGAGTCACATGGCATTAAGTGGCACACCAGGCAGCTGCTCACTAAATGCCAGCTTCTGCTCTGATAGGCCTGCCGCCTTAAGGAGCTCCTCCCAGCTCCTCCTCGCCTTTCTCAAAAGTCCCAGGGAACTTGTCTGGGAGATCAACCAGAGTCCACTCCCTGCAATAACTGTTGCAATGCTTGGTGTCCCCTGGGCACTGAGGTGTTCAGTTTGCAGGTGTTCGTGCGTGACTGGTGGTAGAGCTGGGCCGGGCAGACCTGCTTCATCTCCTGGCTCCTTAACTCCTTGTTGTGTGACCTTAGGCAATTGACATAAGCCACTTGTGTCTCACTCCATTTCTGTCTCATTCTCCTCTTCTGTTAAAAGAAGCAAAAGGATGGCTACCTTACAATGAAATTGTGAGGCTTAAGTGAGAAATAACTTGGGTTAAGCACATAGCATGGCGTGAAGTACACAGCAGTCCCTCGGCAGCTGCACTGTGTGTGTTGAGGGGGTTCAGGCTGCTCCCCATCAGGCTGAGTCCTCCCAAGAAAGGACTGACTCCTCTTTGTCCTAGGTCTCCCCAAGCACTAAGCAAAGACAGTCCCCATTTTGGAGGGTTCATGCTAATGGGAAAAAAAATCCCTCTCCTGCTGCTCACTCCCTAGGCTCCCAGGCCATTCATCTTATTAACCTGGTAATTGGTTAACTGTTGGCAAAGGGCTTGCAAGTGTGGCTGGGATAACAGTGGAGCTATTTGGGGATGATTGTCACCCCTCTTTTGAGGTTTCCCATTTGAATTTAGGGGATCAACCATCAACAAGATGGAGATTTCCTATTTCATTCGACAAAGAGTGATTGAGTGTCTACGATGTGCAAAGCAAATCCGAAGCTGATTTCTCGGGTGGTATTGGGGCGTCAGAGATACCATAAGCTCCTGCCCCTAAAGCATCTCCAGATGCCATCTTGCTCATGCCAGCCCAGCCCCAAGCATGGTCAATTAGCCAACTTTCTAGCTCTGGGAGAAGGAGTCCAGCAATGGGCAAAGGGTGGTTTTGTCAGGGAGCACTGCCCAGGATGTCCTGGACGATGGCTAAGCCACACTCAGCTGTTTGATTTTTGAATGAGTTTCTAATTTCTCCTGGCCTCAGTTTTCTCATATAATGGAGAATTTGATTAGATGACATTCAAGGTCATCTGTCAGTTCTAAAGTACTGTATTTCTAGAACATTAGGTTCTTAGGTGGGTCTAAACTGAATCCCGCTTGCTGGATTTGAAGCCAGTGGAAACTATGTACTTGGTAATTGGGGAGCAACATGGGGTGGGGTGACCAACCCTAGTTCTCAGCCTAGAGGACTGCATCAATTAATTAATTATTATTTATTCTTTTTATTATTTTTTTTTTGTTATATATATTTTCTGAGGCAGAGTCTCCCTCTGTCACCCAGGCTAGAGTACAGTGGTGTGATCTTGGCTCACTGCAACCTCCACCTCCTGGGTTCAAGTAATTCTCGTGCCTCAGCTTCTCAAGTAGCTGGAACTAAAGGCATGTGCCACGATACCTGGCTAATCTTGGTATTTTCAGTAGAGATGGGATTTCATCATGTTGGCCAGGCTGGTCTTGAACCCTTGATCTCAGGTGGTCCATCCACCTTGGCCTCCCAAAATTCTGGGATTACAGGCAGGAGCCACCATGGCTGGCCTACATTTTTTTTTTTTTTCAGTTTCTCATAGTGAGAGAGCTCTGGTGGGATTGCATTCTAATTAAATATTTAATGGAGAGTGTCTGTCTGTTAAAATTACTGTCACTGCCTTGGGGATGGGTCTCCTTTGTACTCTTATTTGCAGCTTGCCCTCAAATTGCAGGACTAAGCGTTGCTGGAAATTGCCCCCTAAGACCATGTAGGATCTAAGGGTCAGAAGAGATTGTCCGAAGGCCAAAGGAGCATTTCAGGGCTGTGATTCCTCTCCTCCTACCCAGCCTCTCAGAGCCTATTATGGTACTCCAAGCAGGAACCAGGAAATGGGTTCAGCCCCACGTTTGGTGCTTCTCTTTATTCTGCCTGCTCTCTGAGAGCTGGGGGAAGAAAAGACTGTGTGCTTTTTCCTTGCGTTAATAAAACCCGAAATGAGTCTTCATTAAGGGCTCCATTAAGAAGCCACTGTTATTCTTGGCACTCATTAGCGTTGCTGCTCACCACTAAATTGCCACACTGGCGTTTTCTCCGGGCTTTGCAGGGCCCCCTCCCGATGCTGGAAAGCTGCTCTTAAGATAGATCTCGACTTGCTGAGTCTCAGAGATGGGGGGACTAGCTCCTGATGAGTTTATCTCATCCATTTCCCTGTCTCCATACATATGCTTTTCCTTCTAGCTCTGCCAACTTCTAGAGCCTCTCTTACTACACTGTTTGAAGACTTAGTGAATCTTGGGTGGAAGTTCTTCCCCTTGTCAAACTGCCCTGTTTTGCTGTAACGTCAGCCCATGTGGAATCCTTCACTCTGACACTGAAGAATATCTTTCTTTCTAAGAGCACTTTGCTTTCTTTCTCCTACTGAATTCAGATCATAGGTCAATTTTTATAAGTGATGAAGCCCTGCCTTCTTCCCGTATCCCTGTGGCAAGATGCAACCCTAGACAGTGTATTTCCCTAGGGCAGGCGTCCCCAAACTTTTTACACAGGGGGCCAGTTCACTGTCCCTTAGACCGTTGGAGGGCCGCCACATGCTGTGCTCCTCTCATTGACCACCAATGAAAGAGGTGCCCCTTCCTGAAGTGCAGGCGGGGGGCCGGATAAATGGCCTCAGGGGGCCGCATGAGGCCCGAGGGCGGTAGGTTGGGGATGCCTGCCCTAGGGTAAGTTTGTCTTTTAGGTTCACGGCGCCCTGTATTCATGCCCTTTTTAGAGAAGCTCACTTCATTCTTGCTTTCAAGGCCCTGCAACAATGGCCAGGCCTTTATCCAGGACCTGTGGCTACCTGACCCCTTCTCCCCAATCAACCAATACATATTAAATTCATATGATGTGGCAAGCACAGGGGCCAGGTTTTCTATCTCATGTGGCCAGAATCATAATCACAACAAGCGAGATTTTGACTGCTAACATGTTATAAATGAAAAAACAAAAAACAAAAACCAAAAAAAAAAGCAAAAACAGACAACTTTAAAGGAAGTTAGGCCTTTGATCACATAGGTAGTAAAAAGTAAGGTGGAGTCAAACCCAGATCTCCTCGCTCCAAGTAGAATGCCTGACCACCTCCCCAGACCGTCCTTGTCTTTTTTCCCCTTCAGATAATGACCAATGAACATCAGAAAGGACTCTGATATGCACTGCTAATGGTGAGCTGCTGACGTGACAATAAGTTAGACTAAGGGTTTTGCTCAGATGTTAGAACTCTTATATCCAAGTGGCGGTGTTCCCATCAGTGTAATTCACTTGGAAAGCTCGATACCCATTCCAGTCATGTCACACTGTCAAATCACTTTGGGAACACCCCTTTGGAAGTCTGTGGCATGTGGTCTGGAATACTGGCAAATGTTTATTCTTTTAGGGTAAACTGGATCTTTGGAAACACCCCCAAAGGCATTTGGATTCAAGTCTGGAGAATAGGTAAGTCACCAAAACATGTGACTTTGTTTTGAGACAAAAACCTTTTAAAACACTTCTCAGTGACGTGCAGATACTTACTGTACCACAGGTCCCAGTTTTTGTGTTGTAAGAAAGATTTCTCAAGTCTTTCAGAATCTTGCCATGTGAAATAAAGCTTGACTGACCATTTGATGGGGATGGGGTTGGGGAAAGGTGGGCACTGAAGATTGAAACCAAACGACTCATATTCTCCCTGCATGCTTTCACCACTGTTTAGGCTGTGGGGAGCTGGAGTTCCCACAGATGCTGGCTCTCTGATCCTGGGTCAACTAGGGCATCAAAGGTCACTGATGACCATTTCCCTGCCACAGGCATTGCCAGGTCTGGCTTTACATGGACAACACGATAAATGTAGATGCTCTCTCTTCTTGTAGATGCATCTCTCACTCTTGTAGATGTCCATCACAAGAGTGTGGCTCAGCCTTTTATAGAAACATTCCCTGTTCCTGCAATCCCTGAGCTCTTCAGCCATCATGGTCACTTTTTTTTTTTTTTTGAGACGGAATTTCACTCTTGTTGCCCAGGCTGGAGTGCAATGGTGGAATCTTGACTCACTGCAGCCTACACCTTCCAGGTTCAAGTGATTCTCCTGCCTCAGCCTCCTGAGTAGCTGGGATTACAGGCATGTGTCACCACGCCAAGCTAATTTTGTATTTTTAGTAGAGATGGGGTTTCTCCATGTTGGTCAGGCTGGTCTCGAACTCCCGACCTCAGGTGATCCATCCAGCCTTGGCCTCCCAAAGTGCTGAGATTACAGATGTGCACCACCACACCTGGCCTCACGGTCCCTGTTAATTTTCTCTTCCGATGAACTGAGTCTTTTACCTTCTTCAGTATTTTCATTAGTCCCAGAGAGGGAAGAGGAAGAGGGCTGGACAATTGCTTCTGGCTTCTGGGTCCTGGCTCCTCTTTCTTTAAACTTGGTGAATCTGTGTAACAACTTACTGTCTTTGTGACATGACTTCACTTGGACACACTTCTTTGAGATGCTCAAGTGTCCCCTTTTTGCTCTCTGACTTGAGCCAATGCAGTGGGAACAGGAAGGTGTGATGGGCCGGTGTTGAGAAATTGCTACTATGGACTGCGAGCTGTCAGTCTCTCCTCCTCTGCTTTCAGTGGAAACCCATCTGGTGAAGTTAGAATCATATTAAGCATGAACAACTTAACAGGCACCCCTGGAATTAGGTGCCCTTGTCTCTGTTATTTCAGGCAAACTCAATGGAAACTTGGGCAGTGACTATCCCTGTGAGCTTCAGTTTTGTCATCTGTGAAGTGGGATAATAACATCTATCTTTGAAGGTTGTGAAGATCAAGTGAGATGATTCATACAAAGAGCTTGCTTCGTGACTGGTGCATACCAGGTGTTCAAAAATGAATGCCACTGTGTATGACGATACCAAGGTATTAGTGACTCCAGTTGGCCTTGAGCGGAGCCGGAGCTAACTAATCTCAGAGGGAGGGGAGGGGAAGAGGTGAGGAGTGGGTGGGAGCTGTCCATGGTTCTGCGTCCATTCAGCCAAGAAGCCATTTAACTGAGTAAACATCGGTGATCACCTCTTTTGGGTCAGTACTCTTCTCGGCACCGAATTCTTCAGGCAAAAGGAAAGCGCTTCTTGGGTTCTCAGAGTCTCATGCACACAGAGGTGAGCGTGTTGGCGAGCATAGGGCTGTCTCATGTACGTGAATCTCTGTGGGCACAGTTGTTCTAACACTGTGTAAGTGTAATCTGTGTGTGTGTGTGTGTGTGTGTGTGTGTGTGTGTGTGTAGTGAGAAACAGAGAGAGGGGAGGGAGGATGGGAAGGGGCCTCGTGGATGGCAGCTGAGATGAAGGTGGGATATTGCTGTAATGCAGCCCACCTGTGTAAACTAGCCAGCATGGAGGTCCCAGCTCAGCCACGAGGAAAGGATGGTCTCCCGGAAACCCCTGAAGAGACTGCAGGGCACACCGACTTCCACCCCATCCCCACCCCAGCCTACCAGAGTAGAGTAAATCTGAGGACAGAGCTGAGCTGTTCCCCTGCTGGGCACTCCAAACTAATTTTCTGGTACATTTTACACTTGACCTTTTGAACAATCAATGGCCTTAAATGCTGTTTGGTTCCTACAGCCAAATCCAAGAGAAATAAGACATAATCCATCTGGCAGATATGGTCAGGGCAGAGAGAGAGGGAGGGAAAGAGGAGTCTAGAACTGCTGGGACCTCTGCCCTCTGCCTGGCTCAGGAGGGAGGGGTGGGGTTGGGGGTAGAATAGAAAGGGACCTGCCAGCTTTGGAGAGAATGGGCCTTTAAGGGGTATTGATGGCCAGCTAATCACAGGCCTGTTTGTCTCAATGCATTCTGGCCACTCCAGCTGTCACTACCCCAGGGACTGAGCTCTGGTTGGGGAGGGCTGGGATACGGTTCAGGATTCAGGGCTCAGGGCAGGGACCCAGCCTTGGTGTGGATGTCCTCAAAGCCAGGACACATGGGTCTCAATCTGAAGTTAGATTTTGGGCAGAATCACCTAGAATCCCTGAGATGGCACCAGGCAGGATATCCTGAGGGCAGGGACTGGTGTTCCAGAACAGGCTTAGGACTGACGGGAAGAGCCCGCTCCTGGCTCAGGAGGACAGCATGACCACTGCCGGCTCTGGTCTGGGGTGAAGCCTGGCAGAGGGTGGCGTGGAGGAGATGCATGGGAAGGAAGGGGCTTGGTTATTCCACAAGAGAGGGAAAGTGGGATCTGCCTCCTTCAGAGCCTCTGCTGCCCACGAGGGTGAGATCCCTGAAAGGACCAACAGCCCAGGGTCTCAGGCTGCCCTGCTGCCACCAAAGGCCAGCGAGAGGACCGCACCCTAGGGACCCCAGGAATGAGATGGGGGAGTCAAGCACCTAGCCCAGGGCCCCGTTTCCCATCTTTTCTAGAAACAGTCGCTGTCTGGCGACTGGTAGATAGAGGATGCAGACCTCTGCTGGACCCATGGGCTTCGGCCTTTGCTGGACTCAGGGGCGGGACCCTGTGGGAAACTCTCCGGCAGTGGGATAGCTGATGTTTGCAGTGTGAGGTCAATCGTCTCAGCCACCTGGTGAGATGTGGAGGAGGTAGGAAAATGCACCATCCCTAAGGGCTGTTTGGAAGTGGCTTCCCTGGGCAGCATGTGGGCAGAGAGGGCAGCTCTGTTGCCTGCACCTGGCTCTGGAAAATGGGACCTGCCCTAATGGCTTGTCTGCATCTTCAAGCACTGCCACCTGCCTGGGTTGCTGCTGGGACCATGCCTGAGATACAGGCCGCACCTCAGCCCCTGAGGGGAGTAGAGGTAGAGAAGGCTGATGAGGGGGGCCCACCCACGTGCCAGGTCAGAGTCAGAGACAGGGGACAGGGAGCCTGGGGAGGGTGCAGAGGGGACCTCCCTAGAGATGGGCAGGTGGGGACTCATGGTGAGTGATGACAGGGAGGAGAGAGCCAGGCTTGGCGTTTGTTTAGGCTACAGAATCCCCTCCCTTCCAGTTATTCACAACCAGGCCCCTCGAGGTCCCCTCTGAGGCCCGGCCCTACCTGGCCCCGCTTACCTAGAGAACTGCTCCTGCTTCCTTGGTCTGGGGATGTGCAGCCTTCAGCTACTACAGCAGCGACAATGCAGCGGTGGCGGCAGCTCTGTGATAAAGGCGGGGCCTGTACACCTCTCTGATAAGTAATTATGCCGAGAGTGTGTTCTACGGAGACGCGGGGCTTGTCTGACAAGGCACACTCTTGTTCCTGCCGCCGAGACAGCTGGGGAGCGGAGTGGAGAGGCAAGGGGCTGGAGGCGATGGTGCTGTGTGGGGACCTGGCCTGGATAATGGGCTGCTGAACCCAAGGGGTGCTCATCCAGGGGGTGCACCTGCCCCTCGCCAGGTGAGAGGAAGGAAAAGGGGGGCTAGGTCAGAGGACTTCCCAAACGGGGACGTGTAGAGGAGCTGGGGAATGTTACACACTTATAATCATATCTTGTTTAACAATTATTACAGTAGCAGAGATACCGAATATTTACATAGTGTTCTGTACTTTTCAGAGCATTTTCATGTTTGGTTCTTCCCATAACCCTTTCATGAACGGACAGATCTTTTCTCCCATTTGAACGTTGAAGAAGCCAAGAGCTGAGAACATTCAGCAGCTTGACCAAGGTCGCCGGACAGAACCGGATTTCTTGACCTGCTGGTTGGGCTCCTTCCTTAGGTCCAGGTTGACCAATCCCTCTGACACAGCTGAGCCCACACGGCACAAGCCCTGTGTGTGACGTTCCCAGGTAGGAGCTGAGAGGAGACGTCTGGAGGGAGAAGGGACCTGGAACCCAGCATTCGGAAGCTTCTGGCAGCAAGACAGCCCATTCCTGCAAGGCAGAGCGAGGTAGCTCCACAGGCGTGGACGAACACGTGTTTCCACGCAGTTGCAACGATGTCCTAGGAGGAGCTGCTGACACTGACTGCCCTCTGCATGCTGGGGCTGGTGTAAAAGATACTGCATGATAAGCAGCCCATTCCACACTGTGCACATGTGAAGATGGTGCCAGTGAACCCCAAAGACTCTGCCCAGGAGGAACCAAGAGCCCAGAAGAGATGACAGGCACATGCAGCAGGCCTGGGCTAGCCAGGGAAGCTTCCCGATGGAGGCTGTTCTGAGCAGAGTCTGGAGGGGAGAAAAGGACAGGCACCATCAGATAAGAAGTGAAGGACCTGGGGCAAAGGGAAGAATGGTTTAAGATGGCGAGCGTTTCAGCTTGGGCAAACCCAGGGGTGGACGGAGGCCTGGGGTGGCTGGTGGTTGAGACAGAAAGTCAGGCATAAATTTAATATGCTAGAAATTAATTAAGGAGCCCCTGAGGATCATTACAAGGGAAGAAACATGATCAACACAGTGCGACACGAGGATGGGAAAGAGGGATTGGAGACAGGCATGGGGTGAGCACTCTGGTCAGCAGTGTTCAATCTGACTTGGAATTCCAGGCCACCATGGAATCTGGAATTCTCTGGCTGGCTGCGGGGCTTTGGGACCTCCAGTGCCCTCTGCCACCAGCTTGGGCTGGGTTCTGGAAGGTGGGGATGGATGGCTCCCACAGCCCATTGCCCCGACCCATGGTGCCTTCCTCCCTGAGCCATTTCCTCAACAGGATGCCAGTTCAATGCTGGATTCTGCCTCAGGCTCCAGGAAAAATCTTGCTGCTCTGGGAAGATGCCCTGCTGCTCCTTCTGCTCTGCTCCATGGTGATTGATGGCTGTGGGTAGGTGGGTAAGAGCCTTCCTTCCCCTATCCAGACGGTTGGAGTGGGTTAGGCAGGCTCCCAGAGTAGCCAAAGAGGAATGGATGGACCAGGGGGGTGCCCAGAGAAAGGATGAGCTCCAAGGGTGGTTCTGGATGTAGTGGCTGGTTCCAGGGACCAGAAGATGGCTGTAGAGCACCATACCATTATCTTAATAGTGGGTTCTTCTTTTCTTCTTCTTCTTCTTCTTTTTTTTTTTTTGAGATGGAGTTTTACTCTGCTTCCAGGCTGGAGTGCAATGGCACAGTCTTGGCTCACTGCAACCTCTGCCTCCTGGGTTCAAGTGATTCTCCTGCCTCAGCCTCCTGAGTAGCTGGGATTAAAGTGCCTGCCACCATGCCCAGCTAATTTTTGTATTTTTAATAGAGATAGGGTTATACCATGTTGGTCAGGCTGGTCTCGAACTTCTGACCTCAAGGATCTGCCCTCCTTGGCCTCCCAGAGTGCAGGATTATAGGCATGAGCCACCACACCTGGCCAAGACTGGGTTCTTCTAAGGAGGAAGAAAGTAACATTTGCTGCCTAATTTCCTGGCCTTTCAAGGCCACCCTGGACTAAGGCTCTGAAGAACTTATTATGGCTAAGCAAGAAAGGCCTGCTATTGTCATAAAGGGGAACCAAGGTCCAGGACAGAAAAAGGTGGTTTATCCTTGAAAGGGTGTGCTCTGTGAGTGACACTCCAAAGCGCCTTCACTAAACCATCTGGGTCCCCATGGTGTGAAGTAGGACGGGGTTGCTTCTGTTTCACTCTGCCGGGTCTTCCTGGGGAATTTTAAAGGGACAAATTCTCTTCCCAGGATAGGGGGTAAAGGGAACCCAGGAGCTATAGGCACCTGTAAACCCAATTTAAAAATCAGTCTAGCCAGCCAGCCCCCAAAGGAACCAGAGGGAGCTATAGAGTAACTCAAAAGCAGACACTAATGGAGGAGAAAAGAAATGTAGTTACATATTCATCAGCTTTTAAATATTCATGAGGATTGTAAAGCAGATTAATTTTCATGCCTCATTTCTCCCGAGGTTCCCGCTGTCCATATTTTACCGCAGCAAGAGAAGAAAAGGGAGCGATGGATCATTTGGCCACTGCCCTTACCATCACTTAAGGAGCAGCGTGTGTGAGCGTGTGTGTGAGTGTGTGTGGAAGGGTTGGGGAGCAGGCGCTGTGGTCGCTGTGGAGGTGAAGGTACTAGCTTCCTGAGGGCCAGCTCTACCTCCTGCCAGGCCAGGCCAGTGTGAAGACAAGGGTGGGGAGGAGGTGGGGGCGTCTGAGGACAAAGGGGCACCCTGGAGCGGGCAGACTCTAGAGGCATCAGGTAATTTTGGGCCTCCCAGGGTGAAGAAAAGGAAGAGGACCTTCACCAGAGTCAGCAGGAGCCCCACCTCCACTCCCCTCAATGCACGGTCAAGACCAACTATTGAGTAAGGTGAGGGAGCGGAGGAGAGGGCATGCAAAGGGGTAGAGAGGCGTGGAAGAG